TATTAATTTATAACCTATGTTTATGTTATGAGCATAATCAACAACAAACTATACGAGTTTGCACATGTACATGCTGGGGTATACTATTTCCAGTAAAAGCCTAAATGGTAGCAAAATTGGCACCTTAAAGTAACACTCCGTATAGCCCTATAAATGTGGTTGAATGTGCAAAATAATGACCATAATTCCCTCTACTATATACGTCATGCAAAACCTCCGGTACAAGTACAACAAAGCAGTAAAATAGATCTTACAGCGAATTTTTGTATTGAGTAACCACTTAATAAACACAGCTTAAGCTACCATTTACCACCAATTAATACATAGACTACATTTCCACTGATATTACACTGATCCTCTTGAAAAAACAACCTTCTTACCTTGGGAAGGTATGAATACAAGCAAGAGTGCAACTCGGATCCAGGAACAAGAACATAATTGAGAAATGCAGAAAGGACAGATGCCTTTAGCTTTCTCCTCAACTGAATTGTCCACCGAATCGCCCTCACAATCCTCCGCAACTCACGCACATATGAGCCCACCTCAATCAATGCTGCTATCTCCTTCAAATCTTAAAAAAAACTCCCATAAATCAACAAGGCATACAAAAACAAAAACACAAACTGAATTTAACCAAAAAAAAAAAAAAAACCCCATATATATATATGACGCATACTTACTCTGAAAAGTTGAGGGACCTGTGGAGGAGAGTGGATTAGAGAGTGCAGGTTGTTGCTCTTTCATCTCAACATCTTGAGTCATTTTTGCGAAAATCTGAGAAATAAACGCAAAAATAACCGAAATATAAAGAATTGATATAAAAACCGGGAAGTCCATTTTAAAAAATATATATAATAGAAGCAAAAGAGTATTATGTATTAATTTACCCGGAATTGATAGGGAAGAGTGATTGAGATAAGATTTGATCTTGAACAATGAGAAAGCTAGGGTATCGATTACTTTCTTCGGCTGCAAGTCAGATTAGGGAAACAATATTGTTATAAAACATAAATAAAAAAGAAATTCCGAAAAGGGGAAGATGGATCGAACCTGAGATACGATGATTGCGAGATTAGAAAAACCCTTAGATTGTGGGGCTCTTCTATTTGGTCTTGGAATTTTTGGAGTCCTTATCTCCGACTTAGCACAAAAATGAAGAGTATTTCAAACGGTGATACAATGGAAAAGATATTGTCACTGACAATATTATTTTATTGAAAAATATATTGTTGAAAATGAGTTATGAAATAATGCATTTTGAAAGAACACTAGTCAAACGTGAACTTAATAAATATTTTTTTTCAACTGGTCCAGTTCTTGGGATGAAAAAAAAAAAAGATGATGCGGCCGTCTGAGGGACTCTTGCGTCATTTTCACTTAGAAGGGCCAAAATTAGATAGGGTTAAAGCTGCGGTCTCGTTCCTTTCATTTTTGGTAAATTATACCAAATATTTTATTAATTGCACACACAATCTCAAACGAATCATGCTAGATGTATACATTTGATTCATATTAAGTTTCACACCCCCCTCACATGGGGGTAGGACTCACAATCACGGATCTCACCCCCATGTAAAGAGGATGTGAAATTTAATGTGAATTAAGTGTTTACATTTAACTTTATTGATCTCAAACTGGTCATTTTGTTGCAGCAAAATGACAAAGTGATGGAATTCAACCGTTGAATAGTTAGTTGAACAAAAAATATAAAAACATAACATTTTGACTAACTTTAAAGGGGAAAATTTGTAACTTAACGAATCCTACATTAAATAATTAACTTGGGGGAGGGGGGAATTAATTTTTTCTTCTTCTTCCTTCCCAATTCTCCAACCCCCGTCCTCCAATCCAAATCAAAACTCAACCTCGTAGACAATTATTTCACCAACACGTATGGGACTTGCCTTAAATGTATCCAAAACTGTTGACGAAATAGATGTAAGTGTTATACTTTAGGAGTTTAGGTCCAATCTATTTAAGTTGTATTCACTTTTGATATAATTAATGTACTTTATTTATGATAAGATATGTTATTTATTTGAATTACTATTCTAATAAATTATACCAAGTCCTTTGAACTCCATTTTATCCAAAATGTATTTTTGTGCTCTCAATTTTTTACCCCAAAAATACATTTTAGCCCTAGTTTAGGTTCTATTAAAATGTGTTTTTGAAAAAATATATATTTTTTGAAATAGTGAATTTTTTAAAGAATGTGTGATTAAAAAGGAAGAAATATTTTGAATTTATGTATAATATTGAATGTGTACTTAAAAAGAAGAGAAAGAAAAGGGGTTTTGTTAATTGTACATCGGGGTCGACACCCTTGTGTACACCCCACTCACAATAGGGGTCCATGCCAAATAAAAAGAGATTTGCTACACATACACGAGAGTTGACACTCTCGTGTACACGCCGCCCTCACAAGAGGGGGTCCACAATTATTTTAATCACCGTGGGCCCCCCTCTTGTGAGAGGACTCCCGTGTACATTTAGCTTTTTTCCAATAAAAAATCTTGGGCCCCATATTATGAGAGAGGTTTTACACTAAGGTGTCAACTACTGTGTACACATAGCAAAACCCAAAGAAAAATATATTTTGGATAAAATGGAATCCAAACACAAGCTAAATAGCAATAGGAGATTCAAGTCCTAATATTAATCACAAGAAACTGTAATGGTGACAAACAAATTACACATGACTAAATCTTAAATAATTTGTGGTCGTAGATAATGCCGAGACATGAATATCATTATTACAGATAGATTATCGCATGTGACATTTCTCACTTATGAAGTGAGTAGCTGATCTCGCAAGTTAAAATGTAGTGATTAATCTCTAACATTCGGTGGTGGAATCGATCCTTCAACTCGAGGTTATCATAGTATCTTATATGATGACGGTCATATTTTGGTGATGTTGGATGTTACTCTGCTAAGAGTTGCTAATACAACATTGTTTGGATATGTCAAGAATCATATGAAAGTTGTAAATGATCAATAGATAATTCGTCACTCTTAAATAGTACGAAATTATGATCTACATTCCGTTCGGTTAAATTGATAATGAAATCTTTGACTAAAATGTGCTCATAAGTCGAAAAGAATTTTCAATTTATATTGACTTAAGAGTTGAATGAAAGATATGATCGATAATCAAGATTGACACACATTCATATCTCATAATTGATTGGATCACATTGACAAAAAGATTATAGTTTTACGGTAAACGAACAAATTTGATTTTCATACCACATGATACTTTCTGTCACATTTATTGTCTGACACATTGCTGATATTAATCTGGGATAACAATTGTGAATTAATTAATATAAGTAAATTAATGAAGAATTAAAAGAATATTTTAATTTATCTTATCTTGATTAGATCAAAATAATAATATATGTCATTAGGCATCATGATCGAAAACCTAATGTGTTACGCACAATAAGAAGAACTAGAAAAATGATTTTACTAACTAATTAATTGAAAAGTATTGGATATTTGTAGAATTTATTAATTGTGTTGCTTATTAATTGGCCTAAATTAATTAATTAGATTAATTAATTCATGGACTAAATTTATTTAATTAGATTAATTAAATATTGAATCGGATTAAGTTTAAATGTCGAACAAAACCCACTTGGACATCTATTGGTGAATGGGGGTGGGGAAGATGGTGCGTTCATATGTGTTTTTATTTTTTTGGTTTACAAAGTTACAATTTTACACTTTTTAAAATTGGTCAAAATCAAATTTATTAGGTTAACTAACAGTCAAACTAACAGAAATCGTCCATTTAGACCCCAAGTTCTAATTTTTGAAAAGTTTGGAACTGTGGATGACACAAAGTGAACGTTAATCTCAAGTCTGCGAAAAATCGAAAGGTTGGGACCACTGCTGCAATTATCCCAAAAATTAATTCCTTTTCTTTTCTTTTTTAATTATTTTCCGTGGGGTTTGTGAGCTACAATTCTACCCTTTAAAAATTAGTTAAAAGAGATTAATTTTTTATTGACTAATGGTGGAATAAATGGACAGATTTTGTTTATTTGTATTTCCATGCAACGAAATAAAAAGTTCATGATTGTGTGTGATATAAAAGAAAAGTTTGGATATAATTTGCAAAAAAAATGTAATGTTTGGAACCATAACTGCAATTATTCCTTTTTAATTTTGACCCTCTTAAATAGATTTAATGTCTAAACTAACAAAATTGTAAGATAGAGGATGTTTCGCAATATTGGGATTTTTCACCAAAATGAAAATGAAAGGATAGTGAGATGTTCCACAGTAGTGACAAAGATCGTGGGGATTTTACTTATAAGTAATAAATAAATAACGCATCCAACATGTTTCAAAATTTAACATTCTGTTAATCTGCTTTTTTTGTTGAACAATTGTAGTTCTTAAAACTAAATATATGTTGGTCAAATAATGTGAGGCAT